ATACCTGTCGTATTCAGCAGAGCATCACATACCTCGGAATGCTTTTGTTGTAAGCCTGAGGTAGTCAACTGATGAAATTTGTTCATATATGCCTTCCTCCCCCTCCAATGGTACATTCATTTTTCTTCTATGACTCTTCCCTTTATTTTACTTTTCATTTCTTCTATTCAGGGAAGAGAAATTATGACATTGAATGGGAGCAAAACTGATCTTTTTGTATCTCATGGTAGTGTTTGCACTTTTGTAATTTTAGAAGTTAGAAAACTTCCCCAATTTTCCCTGTGTTGCCTTTAGCTGCCCTCCTGGTAATGTGCATATTTTAATACTTGAAGTTGGATTTTTCCAACCTTCCTCTAAAGTTAAGTGCTAAGCTTAAGGGGAGCTGTGCTAATTTTGTTTGTTGTAGTACAAATTATGATGTTGTTTATTGATACGAATGCAGTTCTACTTCTAAAAACATAATGGGTTGACTGCATTTTTTCCTTATTCTATTTTATGAGCTAAACACTATGAAATTTTTATGTATAAAAATGCTTTGGAGCGTGTCCTTCTATTATTTAGATATGCAGTTTCTCACTGTAGGGATTAAGCAAGTGCGTTCAACCTGATGCTACATTTCAAGTTCTTAGCACAGTGCATAACATACGGTTAGAAGTGGCTTAATAAAAGTCATTATTTTTATAACTTCTAGAAATTATTATTTTAGTGAAATCTAAAATATTTTGATATCTGCTACCACTGATGGCATATTTGGTTATGTATTCACAAATGAGTTTATGAATTGCCAAGCTTATGATTCCCATTTATTGACATGTTTACATTTATAATATTGATGTTGCATTAATGATGTTTTGCTTAATTTCACTTCATTATAAGTTTAGCATCTTAATTAAGTTACTTTTTTGTGGTGTGTGAAGAGCATTGAGCCTAGTTTCCACCTTCCGGAATTGATATTACCTGTACAGACAGAAATGATAGCAAAGAAATTGTGCTTCAGAAGTTTGTAAGGTCTATAGAGTTCATTTATCTACGTATCACTGACATCTAATAGAGTAGCCTCTCTCTCGATCCTCGTATCTTTTTTGTAGATCTGGGAGTCCAATTGGTATCATTCCCCTTCATCCTGAAAAGCTATTTTTTGACATTTTCTGTAGTGTAGATCTGCTGGTCACAGTTTTTCCTGGACTTTGTCTCTTTGAAAGTGTCTCTATGTTGCTTTTATTCATGAAAGTATTTTCACTGGATATGAAATCCCAGGATACACACAAGTACACACAAGTATACACAAGTACACACACACACACAGAGTGTGATTTAAATATGCTTTGTCATTTGCTGCCATTGTCTCTGGCGGAGATTAGTTGATTTCAATTTGTGACTTTTTTTCCCTTCCTTTATATATATCTTCCATTTTTTTTTTTGGCTGCGTTCTCACTGTTGCCCTTTTGATTTTCAGCAATTTGTTTATGAAGTGCCTCAGTATTGTCTTTTGTTTTGTATTTCTGGGGTTTGCCACCTTATCTCTTGGAATGTCTTCTCTGCCACTCAGACGCACTCTTGTTTCTCAGTCCAGTTACTGAAGTGTTAATGGCCAGTTCCATTCTTTCACAGATCTTGCCTGTTCTTTTTGGTTCTTTTTGCTTTTCTTTTTTTTTTTCTGGTTTACTTTCTGTTGACCTGGGTCTTTCCTCAGCAATGTCCAGGTTATTGTTAAACCCATCTAATGGATTCTTTTTTTAATGTATTTTTTTCTCATAGATCTGCTATGTTTTTTTATGTATGTTTTTTTTTTTCCCATAAGCACACAAAACTTCTGGAGCTTGAGAGCACTGGGGTCAGGGGCATACGCTATGCCTGCATGAGATCCCAGTTCAATCTCTAGTACAACCTGCAACCCAAGCACCGCCTGGTGGCTCTGCTGGTCCCAGACACCATAAGTACAAACCCTCAGCTCTATTACTGATCTGTGTAGCCTGGTTGGTGGAGTTTATCTGAGAGTGTCTCCGGGATCCCCCAGAGAGGTTTGGGAGGTGTTCCCACAACTCCCAACAACAACAACTTATGAAACCGACCCCTCCCCGCAAATTTCCTGACTTTTCCACTGAAGTGCCACATCTTAACAGGAGCATTCAGCATGATAGACTCTAGCCTTTTTGTGAATCTTCAAATTGCTGATTGTACCATTTGGGTCATCTCAAGGTTTATTTCTTTAGATTAAGATCACATTTTTGTCTCTGTGTGTCTAGCAATACTTAGTTGTGTGTTGGACATTTTATTTGATTGTGTCAACATTGAAGTTACATTTGCTTCTAAGAAAGGGCGTCCCCCCTTCTGCCCTGCCCCTTTTCAGGCTGCAGAAATGAGGGCGTGTGGGCTTCCCTAGTTGAGCTGTCTTCAGCTTGAGTGCTATATCAGTTGGGTTCAGTTCATCTGCTGTGGCTTCCGTTATTTTGTTCCAAGGGTAAGGACTGTGAGCATCAAGTCTTGGCAGTCTGACTTCACCATGGAACTCCCAGCTCTCCACACTGCAGGCTCTCTTTTCTGCTTTTAAGTCCTGCCATGCACCTTCAGAGTTAATGTAGGATTCACTTTCATGGCTCTCCATTTCTTCAAGAAATCTTTTACCTGCCACCTACCTACAGCCTCTCAGGGGTAGCTGACAAGTGTTCTCTGAGGTTTGGAGTGCATTGCTGGGTTGGCGCTCAGGTCTTTGCCAAGTCAGGAGTCTCTGGAGGACAGCTGCTCCAAAAGGAACAGCGTCTCGGCCTCAACGGCACATTCCTGCCCTGTACCCAGTCATCCATCTGCTTCCCTGGGCAACTGAAGAGTAGGTGGGAGAAGAAAAGACTGGTGGGTAGGTGTGGACTCTCTTAGGCAGGGGCTCCCTGGAATTTTAATTCTATCAGCTCCCATGCAGATGTCACTATTTCATGAAAAATTCATTTTTTTTTTTTACCCTTGTTTAACTTCTCCAGCTGTTTGTCAGGGATAAACAGGATAAAGCAGTTTGTCAATTCCTGGTATGAATTTTTTTTTGCAGGTTTTGTTGTGTCCTTAGTTCCCCTATTGATGCAAACAATAGCAACTCTGATTTTGTAGGCTGTCTGATTGGTTCTGTTAGGATGAGAACAGTGGAAGGTGTCATATATCTAGCACTTCAGTGTTGTCATGATACATAGACCATGTGAGTGTAGTACATATTTTTCTTAGACTTTATATTCAGTGATTTAAAGACTTGGTTTTAAATAAAAGTATTATTGCCTTTGTATCTCATTGTTTGAAGAAATCCTATTCCTTTAGTGAAGAGAATAATCAATACCGTGACTAAAGTGTCATTAATTCTTTAATGGGATATACTAGCTTTATTCAGAAGAACTTTCTGTGATGATGGAACTGTATAGGTTCTGGTCCATATAGGAACCACTAGTCCTGTGATTCTTGAGTACTTATTAGCGTGTGGCTTAGTGAAACTAAGGAACTGAGTTTCTAACTTAATATACATTTAAATGAGCACTCTGGCTTGTGACTGACACAGTGAAAAACACCTGTTCATATTCCAGACCTTAGACTTGTAGCTTAATGCTTATAGTTAAGCTGAAAAAATACACCAAGGAATCACTCTTTTAAATCACACATCTTAATACCTGCTTAAGTCTTTCTTTTTTGCTTTTCTGTTGTTTCTTGAAGCACTATAAGAATCTGGGTTCTCCATGAGGAATAGAGGCTGTAAAATTCAAGTCGGTTTTCAAGGAATGGTTCTTAAATTAGTATCTGTTCAATTCTATCAGTGAAGCATTTGATCTAGTGTGAAAAAATAACATTACCACAAAAGTCCAGCTTTATTTCTTGAGACTTTAGCTATTAAAATCTTGAGAATTTAGTATACCATAGTTGCTCATGAAGGCCAAATTTAGATCATCTTGAATAAATTGAAGTGTGTTGTTTACCAGAACTACAAACCACATATAGGTTGTATATAACAAATAGGTAGAATTTAAGTATTTCAAAAACTAAATCAGATCGGAGAGTGAGTACAGCAGGTAAGACTCCTGTCTTCATGCAGCTGACTCACATTCATATGAACTGAGTCAAATTAATGCAGTTTGATCTGATTCCTGAATACAGAGCCAGGCATACGCCCTGAGCACTGCTGGGTGTGGTTCCAAACCAATTGAAAAAGAAAAGAGAGAAAGGTAACAGCATTGGAGAGCCAGGGAGATAGCTGAAAGGGGGTGGGGGGGAAGACTGCATGCGGGCTCCAGGTTTTATCCTGGGCCCTGCATCATTCCCTAGTACTGCCTTAAATGTTTCTGATTGCCCCTGTTGGACTTTTGGACTGGCTTAAAGAGCCATTAAAAAACAAAGGCTTTGGACAAGGAGACTGATCAGGATCTTGAGTACTAGTTTGATAGGTAGTTATCAAAGTTACATTTGTAATACTGTAATATTGCTCAATTTGTGAATATGTAAAACAAATGCTACCTACCCTTAGAATTTCCATTCAGTGGTTTTAATAAAAGGTAAAGGTAAAGGCCCTCCCGTTGATCGTCGATTTGCTCGAGCGGGCCCAGTAACGTCTCCATTGGAGACTTTGTTGTTACTGTGTCTGGCATATCAAATACTCTCGGTAGCTTGCCGGGCTCTCCGAGAGGGGCGGAGGAATTGAACTCGGCCATGTTGGCCGCTTGTAAGGCGAACGCCCTACCGCTGTGCTTTAGAAGGAATCTTTTGAGGATGATTGCAATGCCTTACAGTATGATTGCTGAAAATAAATTTCTCTTCTATAGCTATATACTTGTAATACCTATATCTATATACTTGTAATATCTATATTCTTGTCATACCTATCTGCATATATTTGAGAAGATTCCAGGACTGAATTCCTGATGAAATCACCTTTATAAGTCTTTTTAATGGTTTTCAATTTGGGAATTAGATGTTGTTGGAGAACCAAATGCTTATTTAATGTGCATTGTTCTTTCTGTTTTATCATTTTGTAGCTGGACAAATTTGCCAGCATAAGAATTCCAGGGAGCAAGAAAGAGAGACCTCCTATTTCCAGCTTGAAGACTGCATTTGCAAGTAATGATAGTTCTTCAGAGATGACAGAAAACATTCCAAAGCCATTGTCAGAGAACGAAGTCTTAGAACTTTTTGAAAAGATGATGGTAAGAAGCTTGATTATTTATAAAATGCCGTTTGATATAAAATGCTTTTGCTCATGCTGATGGATCACTAAACACGTTCGGAACTCATGTTCCATAGGGTGACCTGTCAGCTAAGATAGCATTTTAGACATGAGAGAATTAGAATTACAAAAATACACATCCAAAGAATGTTGTACTAGTTTTTGTTCTTTTTAAAAGAATTTGGCGTAGAATATTCAACACCACAGAAGCTCTAAAATATCAGATTGTAAAGGCAAAACTGAAGCCATGACAGGTGGCAGAAATGAGAAAAATCAAGTAGGCCTCAGGTTCAATTCCTGGAACTGAAACATTCAGTTTCCCAGCAATAAAACAATGCATAACTAGCCAACCTGAACCCACCTGGGAAAGTTCCTGGGCTCAGCAAGTGGGCTCAATTAATTAATTCTCACAATGCCCAAGAAATTGCCTTTTGTTAACCCCAAAAAAGAATGAATAGCATATGTAACCATAAACTGCTAGTGGAAACTATTGTTTAAATATTGCTTGACTACTGTTATGCTAGACACTTGCCAAAATACTTTTGCTTGGTAGGTAAGTAAGATTTCTTTCTGAAACAATAAGGCATATACTACTTATGTAATGGAACCCTGTATAAATTGCTTGCTACCTGAAGTCAGGGTCGCTATCAAGAGACCACTCTGTGGGTGAGATAGTTGACCCGAGCATTCTGGAATAAAACTCCTACTGTTTTTGCATTATCGAGTTCATGTTTCTGTCCATCTTGCTGCTTGGGAACCCAGAATCTCAGACTTAACAAGATGGTATATATTGTCTTGATTAAATCTAGTGGTTTTCAATTGTTTTTAACCTGTACCCAGAGACTGGTCTATTGTACCAGTGCCTGGACTGAAGTTAGAATCCACTGGGTTAGATTGGTGATCTGGGTTCTGTTGCATTTTATCTTTTTTCATTTTTTTTTTGCCACACTTGGTGTTGCTTCGGGCTTATTTCTGTCTTTGTGCTTAGAGGTATGATATAGGATGCTGGGGATAAAGCCTGGACAACTGTGTGCTAGGAAAATACCCTACCCACTGTCCTGTTCCTCCAGCCCCATTGTTGCATTTAAAAATGAGGGTTATGATACTCTGCTGAAGTGTACTTATTTCTTGGACTTGTTTTATTCCTTCTTTGGTCCTCAGGATAACCAACTTTATGTAATATTTTATGTAATATTTTAAGAGTTAAGACTCTCCAGTCAACTTGAACTCACTAGTATTGGGGTTTACTTTTTTTTGAGACACATGCATCTCCTTTCAGTTGGCTTTAAAAATTTCTCTCATAGCTCATATCTTCTTTTATTTTTTTATATTGCTTTTTTGGTCACACTCGATGATGCTCAGTGGTTATTCCTGGCTCTGCACTCAGGAATCACTCCTGGCGGTGCTTGGGGGACCATATGGGATGCTGGGAATTGAACCTGGGTCAACCGAGTATAAGGCAAACGCCCTACCCGCTGTGCTATTGCTCGAGCCCCACGTCTTTTATTTTAAATCCAGATAAACTAATTTGACAAAAAAAAAAAAACCCGATATCTTTTAGGTATTCAAAACATTTACCGTAAAATGAATACTAATTATATCTAAGCAGATAGTGTAACATATATAGTTCTTGTGCTTAGGCTTTCTTAATGTTCAGAACATGTATTTGAAAAGGTAGGGCACGGGAGATAGTACATGGGCAGGGCACTTGCCCTGGGAATGGCCGCCACCCATTCCACTCCCGGGCACAACATATAGTCCCTGAGCCCTGCCAGTAGTAATCTCTCAGTGCAGAACCATAAAAGCCCTGAGCCACTGGTGTGCGTGACTTAACACCACAAATCTCCCAGCCCCCCTTCCAAAAAATATATTCAAGAAAATTTAAGAGATGCCTGAGGTAATATTTAATGATTAAATTTATTAAAAGAATAGGATAAAATTGCCCCAATTTTGAGATGTTTCATTAGCTTTGGGGAAATGAAAGTAGAAAAAGCATGATAGAGGTCTTGGAAAATTTAGTAGAGAGGAAAAATAAGAGGCAGGCCTTAAAATAGGATTGGATTTTAAGAGCAGAAGGAATTTTCTCTTGAGATAGGGGAACAGCAATGAACAAAGACAGTTGGCATCCATGTGAGTAATGGGCGAGCAGTGAATTGTTGGAAAAATTAGTCTGGAATGATTTGGGGCAGATTATGAAATAATTCCATATGCGTTTTTTTAGGAGCTAGTTTAGAATTGTGATTTTAATGTATGTCCATTTTTTCACCTATTGACTTTGACCTTCAGTTTTTAAGAAAATTTGTGCATTACCTTTTTAGAGGTTAAGATGTTCTTAGAAATTTGCACACACATTAAAAAAGTTAATAGCCGTTCCTGTCATTTTTCAGCTAGAACCAGCAAAGTGTTTCCTATTATAATGCTCTATTTTCTGTTTCTTAAATTTTTGTGTCCAGAATTACACATGGAGCTTCAGAAAACCATGTTACCCCCCCACCGCCTCCCCAAAAAAGTCCAGTTTGTTTTTTCATAAAATTTTTAGTGTTAGTCATTCCTAATTTATGAATACTTAGTAGGGGTGTGTGTGTGTGTGTCTGTCTGTATGTGTATATAACTGTTACTTATTTTTAATACCAATGTATGCTTGGTAAACTCTTGTCTTTTTTGATCACTATTTGATCAAGTGCAAATTGGGGTTTCAGTTAACTGCATATGTATAACTTCTATTAAGTCTGGTTACCATTAAATATAATTAAATATAATTTCAGCCTAGAACAAAGGACTTTTGTTGCTTTATATTGAGGCTTTTGTAAAGATAGTTCTCTTCAATGCCATCATTTGAGGATTTGATAGTAAAGTGCCCTGTGTACTCAGAGATCACTACGGGCAGGCTCAGGAGCTCATGTGTGACGCTGGGAATCAAACATGGGTCAGCCCTGTACAAGCACGAGCCCTACCTGTACTGTTCTATCTCTGCATTCTGTTTTTTTCGCTTTTGATTGTAGTGGCTAAGGCCACCTGAGTATGTTAAGTTAGTTGGTATTGATTTTGGACATTCCCAGAGGCCACATTTTATTATTAACACTCATTACTCAGTGTAGTGAATGGTATTTTATTATGATTGTGATTACTTTAGAAATAATTTTTCTGTTAGAGAAGAATAACAATATAAATTTTAATATTGTATACAGGGTAGGTGGGTATTGATGGTTTATTTATTTTTTTGCTTTTTTGGGTCACACCCAGCAATGCACAGGGGTTACTCCTGGCTTTGTACTCAGGAATAGCTCCTGGTGGTACTTGGGACCATATGGGATGCTGGGCGTTGAACCCGGGTTGGCCGTGTGCAAGGCAAATGCTCTACCTGCTGTACTATCACTCCAGCCCCCCTTTGTTAAATCTTAAACAGATCATCTCCCTGTTAGTAGAAGATATAGTCACTATAATCAGTAGTAAAATGAAATTGTTTCATTTTTTTGGGCTGTTCAATTTTCTCATGAACCTGTTACAACTAAGTATAGATCCTTAACTTTACTTTTTGACTCTATCACAATATATTGTAGGAAAACCTGGGGATGATTTATATGTAACTGCTCTTACAGTTTTTAATTATTTTTTTTAAAGAAGCAAAATTTAAGAAAGTCTGTCATTTAAATTTTGATTCTCATTTTTAATATATGAATCACTGAGATTTATAATATTATTGATAGGGTCTTATGCATACCATTTTTCAGCCTCATACTGTCCCAAGGTTTGCTTCTTTTTCTCATTGTTTATGATTTCTTTCTCCCACCATTCCCCTCAGCTATGGTAAGCTTTCTCTAGATAGTTCTCAGGGAGAACCTGTCAATTTTGACCTTTGGCATTTATACCTAGACTTTTTATACCCTGTGAAATTTGCTTTCAGGCTCTTTCTTTAGACATTGTGTAAATTAAAAAAAGAAAAAAAGATTACTTAACATTCTCTAAGGTGTTTAATCTTCACATGGGTAAAAACTGTTTTTGACAAGCACCTCTCTTTCCTCCTCACTACAGTCCTTTGAGAGACAGTGTGCTGACTTGATTATTTAATGAATTCAAAGTATAGTGCCACACTTCAGCATTTGTACTCAATTCACTTTTAGGAAATTGATTTACTTGGTCTCTGGGCAGTAGTTTCAGTGTGCCTTTTACAAAGTAGTGAGAATTTTTCAGTTAAAGTTTTTCGTAGGGGTCTTTGTTTCTGTTTATCTTTCGGTGGAAGAGACATCATTATCTGAAGGTCCAAAGTGATTTACCTATCGATCTTAGATACATGAAATTGCCAAAAACCATATATAAACATCAGAGTATTTATAGCTTTGATGTTACTGAGGTGATAATGGTATATGACATCATAGGTTTCAGCTGGACAGTATGATAAATCAATATTTGTATGTACTACATTATGTTCTCCTAAAGTGTCTAGTTTATGTCATGTGTAATACATGATATTGATAATATGTATCCTTTTTGATTTACCTATTCCCTTTCATCCTGGTAACCGATATTTAGTTCTGAAGTTTATGAGTCTTTTTATTTTATTTTGTCACTGTCTGTGTAATGTCACATAGTATAAACCAGTGTTCTCCTTGTTGCAAGTATCAGTGTTTCTTAATCTTTTAAAAAATGTTGAATAATATTTATTGTGCTTGTGGTCTTCATTTTAATGATAGTTTCTTTTGCTATGCAGAAGATTTTCATTTTTATATAGCAACTTTTGCTTCTGTCACTGTCACTGTCCTCCCGTTGTTCATCGATTTGCTCGAGCGGGCCCAGTAACGTCTCCACTGGAGACTTTGTTGTTACTGTGTTGGCATATCGAATAAATCACGGGTAGTTTGCCAGGCTCTGCCGAGCGGGCAAGATACTCTCAGTAGCTTGCCGGGCTCTCCGAGATGGGCGGAGGAATCGAACTTGGGTCGACCATGTTGGCTGCGTGCAAGGCAAACGCCCTACTGCTCT